TAGGCTAAGACACCAATGTAATGTGGATGTCCTGCCAGTTACCAGGTATGTATGTCTACTGGTACTGTTCAGGGAGCAGGAAAATGATGAATGAGTGAGTCAGGTTCCTCAGCAAACAGACTCTGAGATAGAGATCTGTGTTCAGAGAGTTTAGTGAAGAAAGCTGTCAGCAATATACCTGTGCAGAAATACCGGCAGCAGCATTTGGTAGAGGAAGTTTAATTATGGTACAGTTGCTGAGAAAGCCTCCGCTGATTCCACAGGGGGCTTTGAAGCTGAGACCACCCTTCAGAGTTGTAACACACTGAGGCAAAGGGGCCGGGCCCTTATTCTCTTTCTTCATTGAATTCAGTGTGCCCCAGGGGAGGCAGCTCCCATAGCAAGAGGCAGCTCCTTTCAGAGGAAGGAAATTTCTGGGGAGGAGCTCAGGCATGGGGCAAAGCAGGCAACACCCACAGCAACTGGGGAAATAAGCACCACCATCCTTAAGAGGGGATTTTGGTGGTTAGTGGTAACATCCACTACTAAGGTTGCTGGATTTGGCAAGTAAAAAGCAATAAATAAAAATATCGCATGGCATACCTATACTGAAAAGATACTCATTACTTACTTAAATTTCAAATATAACTGAGTATTGTCTATTTTATCTGGCCACTCTGTCCACTACACACGTATTAAAGGGCAAGTAGGAGAAATAATTTCAAGGGGATTAATGCATTTCTCCTTTTGTAATCTTATACTCTGTACAGTAGTAATCCCACATGGACATGAGAGACCAAAAATAAAAATTGGTTAACCTCAACAATTTTTGTTCCACTCACAATCCTGACTTGGTCTAATTATAGGGATTCAATGCCGCTCACTACTTTTTACCATAGGAAGCAGAAATAGGCTTAGAAAGAACACTAGCAGTTTTAAGGAGGGCGGATTGTGGGAAAGAGAGCACACAGTATACAGACAGGGAAAGAACTAGAGCAGTGGCAGTGGGAATGAAAGGGAAGAAAGGAGAAGAGACGCCCCTGAGATAGATTCAGAGAATTTACTAACTGTATGATACAGAAATACAGGAGGTGAACAGTAGCTAACAAAATTGTATGTTCTTGATTTTAGGTAACAGGAAAAAAAAGAGAGGATATGGTAAAGATACATGTAAAACAAAACCAATAGGTTTGAAGGGAGAAATTATACATTTGACATTCTATTCATCCGAATGTATAATATATGTGAATACATTAACTAATATACTATACCAAGCTGTTGATATTGGTCAAGTGATCATTTTCCATTAAACATATTTACCTTAGACTTTATAGATATTTTTAACCACCTAGCATTTCTACAAGCTGTGCACAGGATGTTAAATTATACTCATAATTCTATTAGCTATTAATAATTCTTATATACCCATTAAGTCCTGTAAACACTAATTTTCAAATTTAAAATCTTAATTGAAGGAAGAGTTTATAAAATGTGTTTTTCTTAAACAGCAATTCCTAACTCTATTTTATTTAAAATAAATATCTATGTGTATGTTTTATATACACTACTAAGAGTTCTTAAAATGTGGAACTCTGGTCTTTTTCCTTAATTACAAAAAAGGAGAAACTCCTGCCCACATCACACTCAGCAATGCTGTCTTTCTAACTGGCACTCTCCCCTTTACCCAATTTATATTATGCTGTCAGTTGATTTTTTTCCCGAATCATGATATTCAACACATTGTCCCTGCATTATTTTCTGATTCAGAGTAATCAATCCAGGAACCACTAACAGATCTATTAATTCTTTGTGTGCATCACAGCAGAATCCTGGATGCATCCTCAGATGCTAGGATGTTTATCTACTTAGTATGGTCTGGGAGCAGAACAAATACTGAGAAAATCAAAATAAATAAGTTTTTCCTATTTTAGTTCAAAATTCTAAAATGTAATGTTACATTTCCATTCTATGATGTTAATTTTAATCGCCAGTGACTTAGTGCTTAGTGACAATTATTCACTTCTGGGATTAAAATGCCCACTATAGACATCAATAAACAGAACAAAATCTGACTTATCCAGTTGTGTTTGCCAATCAGAAATCTATTTTAATAAGCATCATATACCCTCACCTGAGTACCAGGCCCAGTAAGAGAAAATGTATGTAACACATGTTGATATAATAATTAGAATAAACATATTAAATCCTATTTTTGTACTATGTATTTTCCAACCAAAGGGAAAATTCAATATTTTATTGTAATTATTTATAAATTATCCACTGTTAACTTTCAATAATCTGTGTGCAGATTATCCATCACAATCTTTAAACCCAAGATGGCTTTTTCCTGCGATTATGTTTTTAGAATAACTTCTTGCTTTATTGAGTTTTCTTACATGTGCTTACTGAATACAAGTATAGCTTAAGCCATGACATGACCTAAGTAAGAAGGTAAATATGCTGCTGGGGAAAAAATGTAATATAATGGCATTTCAAATCCAAGGAGAAACTATCTTTATAGTCTCCATTATCAGTTTAGATTTTTCAAGTTTCTGCTCCCTTAAATTTATGTAATGCATATGGATAGCATAGCAAATCTCTATGCCCACCCAGTAAGTATAACCTTCCTGGACCTGCATATTTTCTGTGCACCAAGCAAAAACGTCAGGTACTGAGTAGGTATAGTTGTTGAAAGTTTATTCTAAATATTGTATCAATTCTCCTGTTGTTTAATTGTTGTAGCTAAAGATAAGACCTAAGAACTATGAATTTCACTGTAATTTAATTAGTTACCTGACAATTCTTAGGAGGACTACTCCTTACTTCTCACCTGTGGTGGATTATTAAGAACTAACTCTGATTATTTTTACTTAAGATTACCTGGGTTTTATTTTTTAACCAAAAGATGAAAAATATCATATACCTTGTATCCCACTAGTAATAATCTCTGCTTAAAAATTAAAATGAAGCAATAACATGTATACATTAAATTGTGGTTCAGTAGTAACCGTCAAGACTTATGTGAGTCTTATGCCAGGTACTATTCTAAGTATTTTTCCCTTAATTCTTATAAAAACTTTATGAAATATATTCCATTATTACCCTTATTTTATTTTATTTTTTAAATCTAAATTTTTTTATTTGAGCATAGTTGACACACAGTATTACATTAGTTTCAGTAATTATAACATAATGATTGGACAAATTTATACGTTATGCTATGCGTATAGCTACCACCCGTCACCGTACAATGCTATTATGGTATCATTGACTATATTCCCTATTCTGTGCCTTTTATTCCTTGAATCACTCATTCCATAACTGAAAGCCTAGATCTACCACTCCCCTTTACCCATTTTGCCCCCTCCACAAACACCAGTTTGTTCTCTGTACTTACAGCTCCGATTCTGCTTTTTGTTTGCTTATTTATTCATTTGTTTTTTTAGATTCCACATATGAGTGAAAACATATCTTATTTAGTGTGAGTTATTTCACTTTTTACCCTCTAGGTCCCTCCATACTGTCACAAATGGAAAGGTCCCATTCTTTTATATGGCTGTGTAATATTTGTGTGTGTGTGTGTGTGATATCTTCTTTATCCATTCGTGTATCGATGGACAATTAGGTTGCTTCCATATCTTAGCCACTGTTATCTTTTTTTTTTCAAAAAAACCTTATTTACAAAAATGGTTGGCTGCACAAGCTGTAGTTTGCTGATCTAAAAAAATTCAAGTATTAATCTTGATTGCCAAGTATCTTCGTGCCCCTTTACATTTTACACTAGAAGGTAGTGCCTCACTAATCTTACCTGGTGCCACCTCTGCCAAATTCCCTCAGTTTTGGGGGACATGGAAGTGGACTACATCTGGAAAAGACCCTGATTCTGGTCTCAGTTCTGTCACCAGCTGCCTGAGTGACCTTGGGCCCATCATGCCCCTTCTCTTCCTCCCAGTTGCCCCTTGTAGAATTAGGGAGAGTCCAACTACATTATTTTTTTTTAATTTTATTATGTTATGTTAGTCACCATACATTACATCATTAGTTTTTGATGCAGTGTTCCATGATTCATTGTTTGTGCATAACACCCAGTGCTCCATGCAGTACATGCCCTCTTTAATACCCATCACCAGGCTAACCCATCCCCCACCCCCTCCCCTCTAGAACCCTCAGTTTGTTTCTCAGAGTCCACCGTCTCTCGTGGTTCATCTCCCCCTCCGATTCCCCCCCCTTCATTTTTCCCTTCCTTCTTCTAATGTCCTCCGTGCTATTCCTTATGTGCCACGAATAAGTGAAACCGTATGATAACTGACTTTCTCTGCTTGACTTATTTCACTGTTGTCCTTATCTTAACAACTGAGAAAACGGAGGTGCAGAGAAATTAACTGGCTGAAGTTTCCATAGCACATAAGGGGCAGAACCGGTATTTGAATCCAGTGCAGTTTGGTTTCAGATCCCGTACACTTAACTACTAAATCATACTACCTCCTAGTTGACTTATCTGACTTTCTTCCTATTGAAAAGAACATACTCAAACGGTGCTTCCACCTCTCTCTCACATATATCTGAGTAAAACTCGAATGCCCGTTGTCTTTAACTCTCTTCCAGTGACAGCCTAGTCTGACAGCATAGGCAGGATTCGATGCCCTTCCTGTCCTAATCTCCTCTCTCACATAGCACCTAACATGCTGGTCTGTCATAGATTTCCCCCACTGATGGTAATTCCTGACGCAATAATTATTGAAAGACTGGCACACAACACAGCTCCTGGAAGATAGTACATGTTCAATAAATGTCTGTTGGATGAATGTTTGTAGGTCTTCCCGTTGGCATTTTAGGCTGCATCAAAGCAATCATATCCACAACTCACCACCACCACCATTACTCCAATTATCAACATTTGCATTTCCCCAGATTGAGACAAATTTCATATTTTTCAATCTTTAAGATTTTTCTTTGAAGTTTCTTTGAAAACTTTAAGAAAGTGTAACCAAAACTATCCCAAGGGGGAGAAAAGGTCTTACCTTCTAAATCTTCTTTCTCAAAGTGTGTTTTGAGAATAGAACGAGTTCCACCTCTATCCACAACTGCCTCTTCATCATTTCTCTGTAGAATGGGAAGAAAGAAGATTAAATGATATTACAATAGTTCCTCTTTAACCATGGGAATACTTTCCAAGACCCCCTGTGGATGCCTGAATTCACAGATAGTACCAAACCCTATATAAACTATGTTTTTTGCTAAACATATATACTTATGATAAAGTATAATTTTTAAATTAGGCACAGTAAGAGGTTAACAATAATAATGATGAAATAAAACACTTAAAACAATATGCTGTAATAAAAGTTATGTGAACATGGTCTCTCTCTCAAAATATCTTATTGTACTATACGCACCCTTTTTATAATGATATGAGATGATAAAATGCCTATGTGATCAGATGAAGTGAGGTGAATAATGTAGGCACTGTGACATAGCATTAGGCTACTGTCGACCTTCTGATGGTATGTCAGAAGGAAGATCATCTGCTTCCTGGCCATGGTTGACCTCAGGTCAATTACCACAGGTAAGAGTGGACTACTATACATATATTCTCTTAATTTCAGAGAATAAACAATAATATAATCTAATATAATCTAATATTTTAGGAATTTAATTCAATCACTTAAACCTACTTGTACACAACTATTCTATTTGATTATCAATTGTTAGTTTAAAAAGAAAGAGACTAAAATTAAATTGACCACATATTCAGAGAAGGAATGCCATTTGATTTTCCATGAAATCAAAGGTAGTCATACATTCCAGTTGCCATCATTTGTTAATGAGATGTAAAACAGAAAACAGTTATCCTGACAATGTAGTAACATGCATTTTTATCTCTGATAAAGAATTCTCGTTAACAAGATGACATTTTGAACTCTACAAGGAAAATATGGAAATCATTAGTATTAACACTACTAATGCTATGGCAAGGTGAAGTAATTCCACTGCCATTTAAAATGAGGTTGGGGGGATCTAATCTCTTGAAAGCAATTAGTAGCAATTATTAGGTAAACTACAATTTTAATTACTTTGCTTCAGTATAATACATTTTATTCAAACTAAACTTTTAATTATAATCATATACATTAAGCCTTCATTCAGTATGTATATACATATGTATATTTTACTTATTTAAAATGGCTGGATGGAGACTCTTAACATTGTACATATGCTCAAAACGATACACTCACTCATTTGGTACTCAATAAAATAATGGGGGAGGGATAAGTATAATCCATTTAACCATACAGGAGTGAACAAGATACAAAATACTGAACAAAGTGAAATACAGATTATTTCCAAATTTTTTTGATTGCAAACACCTATGTAAAAACTGCCTTAAAAGTGAACACCGAACACAAAGGAGAAATGAAAAGGTAGACTGAAGATGAATGAATCTTCCGACATCTATTTCTAAGCCTGTTCTAGTATTTGACTAGCAGAAAAATTATAGATTTCTCTTTCTTCTTTGAAAGCTTTTTAATTCCCAGGCATAATCTTGATAAAGATTTGGCCTCCGTGTCTTACAGATCAGTATTGTCAACTGTAGGATTACCGACTACAGACATATTTCAACCTAGAAATATCAGCTCTTATGTGCTTCACAAGCAGCAAAACATAAGTAGAATAACATATTTTATACCCTATAGTCCTGTGTCTTTCAGACATTTGCTGAGACAGGTCAGGGCAAAGTGTCTGAAATTGGAGTGAAAGAAACCTATACTACAAATGAAGGAATAAATGAAAATTGAGATAGGATTCTGAGCCTACTGCTCTTGTGTTTAGCAAAGTTTTAAAAATCTCTTGGTCTGGGCGCCCGAGTGGCTCAGTCAGTTAAGTGTCCGCCTTCAGCTCAGGTCATGATCCCAGGGTCCTGGGATCAAGTCCCGCAGGATACCCTGCTCAGTCGACAGCAGGCCTGTTTCTCCCTCTGAACCTCCCCCGCCTGTGCTCACTCTCTCTTTCTTTCTCTCGCAAAAAATAAATAAATAAATAAATAAATAAATAAATAAATAAAATCTTTTAAAAAAATCTGTTGGTCTGAGCAAAATAGCAATAGAAAAAACTACAGAATTATATATTTATATATAATTTTATATATTTATATAATTTTCCTGAACCTGAACCAGACAAATGCAAGTTCCAGCCTCTTGAGAATCTATTCTTGATTCATTTACAAATCACATTTATCCTCTGTACAGTACATATTCAAATATATGTCACATTGGAATGTATCTCTGCCCTCTGGAGTGTTATTAGGAAGAATGCCAAAAGCTAAGTCATGCATCCATGTTCAGAGGTCAGAAGAAGCACTATTCCACTATATCTCATAATGGCAGCCTCTTAAAACAATTGCAAAATGGAAAGGTTTATATAAAATATAAGAAGATGTTTCCCCCTATACAATAAAATATTTAATTCTTATTTCAAGGGCCTGAATCAATTTTCAACTTATACAAAATTGTTTTTCTTCTTATTTTTATATGGCATATAAACTGTCCACACACAAAAAATAATTCTACACAATAGCTAATGTTAGGATATTGAGATAAAAGGAAATTTTGCAGCAGAAGTAGAAGTGGAATCTAAATAGGAAATAGTTGATTATTTAATTACAATATGAATTACAAGTAGAAGTGCCCTAATTTTAATGTTTCATTGATTAAAAAGAAAGAACTTGAAACTAGAATATGAATGTAACTCAAAGTAAGTGACTCATTTTGCAGTTTTATATAACTTTAAATACTCTCCAGATAGACCAGAGAAACATCAAATGCATGATCTTTTATCCTGAAAATTCCCAAGATACAACTTAATACCAAGACATATACTGAAATTCCTCTACTTTGGTTATAGTTCAAAAGCTTATTTCAATATTATTAAAGAATTTTTAATAGAGTATTTCCCTTCCTCCTTATTACCAAGAGCGAGTAAACATGGGTGTGATGAAGAGAATCCAGGCTGTGCAATAATCCCAAATACACTAGTAAGAAAATTTTTTTCACTTTTTACTGCCCCTTTTCGGATTTGTTGAAGATCAAATACAGTAATGTACCCTAATGTCCATATGTATTTACTCACTTGGAACAAATTTTATCACCATGTAGAGAGAGAACACATAAATCTATTACATTGCCTCTCAATACAATTGACCTTTGTTACACTATTGGGTGAACATTTATAAGATGATTTATTCCAGTAAATAGAATAAAACAATGTTTTAAAATTTGTGTGTTGGGGGGGATGACCCATGGTGAGAAATATATATTCAACACAGTCACATATTTATATATGTGTAAACAAAACAAAACTTTCACAAACCAACATTTATTCTTTTTTTATTATGTTATGTTAATCACCATACATTACATCATTAGTTTTGATGTAGTGTTCCGTGATTCATTGTTTGCATATAACACCCAGTGCTCCATTTACTACATGTCCTCTTTAATACCCATCACCACGCTAACCCATCCTCCAGCCCCTTCCCCTCTAGAACCCTCAGTTTGTTTCTCAGAGTCCATAGTCTCTCATGGTTCATCTCCCCCTTCGATTTCCAACATTTATTCTAACTATAAACAATGCAGTATGATATTTTCTATTCCAGGGTATTCTATTTCATTTAAAAATACTAGTCACTATCCTTTAAATTTATTTCAGTACTTAAAAATGAGTTGTGACCTGCAATTTGAAAAACACTGATACAAACTATGGCCCTGAAACCGTAACAGGAATTAAGTCACACAGAAATCACATCTTAAATCCATTTACATAGGACTCTAACCAATCGAACAAACAATAATACTATACCTTTCAATTCAATATTTTTCAATTTTTGAAATTTCTGTCATGTTAAGTGTAGGGACATATTATTATAATTACATATATTACATATCTTTTGCTAAACTATTTTTACTTTGTTTTTCTTTCCACCAGGAAAGTAATAATTTGCTCTACCTAGTTCGACTTAAGTACTTTTCTCCATGTCTTCCCAAGAAAGAAGGAACAAATACTATTATCTATGATCCTCTCCAGTTAAAACCTGCTTATGACTAAATTGAATTTGTATTCAGCTATTTTATATTATTTTTTTTATTTGACAGAGAGAAAGATAGTGAGAGCAGGAACACAAGCAGGGGGAGTAGGAGAGGGAGAATCAGGCTTCCTGTCAAGTGGGGAACCTGATGAGGGGCTCAATCCCAGGACCCCGGGATCATGACCTGAGCCAAAGGCAGATGCTTAATGACTGAGCCACCCAGGCACCCCCAGCTATTCTAAAGGCAAATACCATATAATTGGCATAATCCAAAGGCATTTTATAATTTTCTACAATATGATTACTTCTAAACATTAAGACATTTGTGTTTTGAATACAAATGTATATAAATGTAAATTGGGAATATTTCTACCCCCAAGGAAAGTTTTTAGAGGGAAGAGTTTTGCTGTCATTATTTTTACTGAACAATTACTAGAGAGCAATAGCAGAAAAAAGAGCTTTCTAGCTCAGCTCTCACATTTGAAGTGACCTTGAACGAGTACACTCTCTCGTGAAAAAGCAACTAATATGAGCTAGCACATTTAAGTGTTAAAATAGTCAGATAAAGATATATCAATAATTTCTTCTAGAATTGTTTAAAAATACCATTAAGCTCTCTATAAATGTATAAAACATATATTTTTCTGATTTACCATAACTCTTGAGCACAGTCTTCACAGAAATAAACTTTCCTAATTTTATAAAACAAAATCTAACAGTAATCCCATTAGCAAGACAATTCAAACTTTTCATGTCCTTTTGAAAATTCTCATCCCATTTGAGATTGGGTTAATAGAAGAGTGAGCAGTTCATTTTCATTTCAGTATTCTTTCTTCCCTAGAACTATTTATCATATCAATTTTTAAAAAGCAACCATTTCCTCAATAAATGATACTGGGAGAACTGGATAGCCACATGCAAAAGAATGATACTGGACCACCTTTAACACCATACACAAAAATAAACTCAAAATGGATTAAAAACCTAAATGTGAGACATGAAACCATAAAAATCCTAGAAG